TTATTAAGAAAAAGTGTCTACATTTAGTTTAAACATAATTGTTTTCGAAGAAGAGTAATGGTAGAAAATAAAAATAAAATATTAAGATTTATAAATTAAAGGGCATTATACTGATCATATTAGAAAACAAAATAATTGAAAGTTCATGCAAAATCAACTAAAAGAATAACTGTATAAAATGTAAAAGCATGCCAAAATTCAACTAAAAAGAAAAATATTTCTATATAGTGCAAATGGCCCGGGTATCTCCAAAACTTATGATTTTATCTCACAACTTTTTCTTATCAAAATTAATAAATGACGTCATAGATGAATATGATAGACACAATCCAATGGTTTCTCTGAAAGTGCATCATAATGCGCAGTCTACTCTGGGATTAGTTTTGAAATAAAGGCTTAGAATTGCCTTTTTGGGCACAGCATTTTTTGTCATATGATGGGAACAAAACACTCCAATAAAAGAAAACTACAACTACAATATCACCTTTTCTTCTTTAATTATCAACAACAACAACACAACCCTCCTCTTCCACTGCAAGTGGAGACAACGCCCCAACCTAAAGCATCCCAAACAACCTTTTTCTTCTCTCATAATGTATTTCTCAATGGAACCAATAGTTTATCTTTATCTACTTTAAGATCCTTTTAAGTTTTAACCCCCGACAATGTTCATACACAGTATAAATCTCCTTTATAATATTACAAATTGTTCTTTATTTAAATGAATTCATCCATTTAATTTCGATAAATTAAAAAGTTTATGGAGAGAAAAACTTATTAATTTTATTGGTGCAAAAATTTCTAATTTAAGTATCCATGTATCTTCCAGTTTCCGAAGCTTCAACTTTGTATACGTGTTGTTGAGCGAAATGTACATGAAATCTTAAAGAATATAAAAATACCTTAAATTATTGGGGTTTAAAGTTTAAACTACCCCGATACAGTAAAAAAATAAATTATTAGCTTAGGAAGAGAAATAGTAAAAAAAGATAGTTGGATATGATTCTTCATATGAATTAAAGAAAAGAGAAAGGTGGTGATGAAAGTCTGAATCTTGAAAGATATTGAAAGAGTGGAGTACGTAGCAGCAATGCGTATAGGGAATGCTTACATCCATTTCCTTCCACTCATGGTGTGATCCCGAATACAAGTCGGTGCCTAAAAAAATGTTTATTTATCCAATATATAATCATATTTATACATGTTTTAACAATATTTTTTTAAATCAAACCCAATAATTTAATTATGATTCAATTTGATGCCGATCTAATTGAACAGCTCGATTTGATTATGTCAATGATGATTTTTCACTACATACATATTTAGTACAACTTTAAGGGTGATATACAAATATTGATATTCAATAATAAAGTTTATTTTACTTACTTTACTAAAGCTTACTAAGGTGATAAGTGCATCCACATCAAATGTGAAATGTCCCATCCTACCCTTTAATTATATTGGTTAAATTAAAGGAACCAAAGAATGAATAGCTGCATGTTCATCATATCTATATTTAATAATAAAAAATCATATGTATATATATATTTAATGTCTCTCTCTATATGGAAATTTAATTTATATATTGTAACACTCGTGGCTTCCACAAGCGTATGAAGATTCCAAAAGAATAATAATCCTTCAAAGACAAGATGATTAGTGGGACACTATTATCAAACTTAAGGACTCAGATAAATTGTGGCAGGCCACTTCCTACCCATGGCATCGACACGAGATCGGAGGGAAAATCATCTATTTCTATTTATTATAAACGAGTTAGTTTTAAAAATTATCTTTTTTATTTTTACTTTTTTATTAGATACTTTTACTTTTAAAATTACTCACTCTTTGCAATAAAAATAATATCCAATACTATTGTTTATTTTTAAATCTTAATTTTTTTTACAACTATCTTTTATTAAAAAATAAATATGAAGACACAAGACACCTCTTTCTTGAGCTAGTGATATGATAAGTAGGATCAAAAAAATATTTTTTAATGGAGCTAATAAGACAAAATGAACATGCTAAACGAGTCCTTACACCAAGTCTATATTCATAAACAAATGGCATTAATAATCAAATGATAGAAAATAAACAAATTGCAATAAGTTAAGCTCCATTAGTAGCGGTACCACTAAGTAACCACGGCCATTAGAAAAGTGTAGTTGCCAGCATCTTTTTCCATTTCATTCTTCCACTTTATATTATTAATTTTTCCCACTCAAATAATTTTTGCAAAAATGTTTCTCATAAATACTAAACTAGCATGCTTACACCTGCAATATATAAATATTTGATTTTAAATAAATAATAAAAGATAAATTATTTTATTAGTTTTATGTTTTAAAATATATTTAAAAATTATTATTATATTTATTTTATTATAATAAAAATTTAATTATATAAAATTATAAAATTAATGTATATAATAATGAATTTAATATATTTATTGACAATGTTATACGTAGTATATATATGATATTTGAGAGAATTAATAAATAATATTAATAATAATGTTTTCCTTTCTAATCATTTTATAATTAAAATTATACTATGAGATCATTAAAAAATGATTAATTCATATACATTTTCTGTTAATATGTATTAATTTCTACACTACAATATCTAACATACGCTTTATATTTTAGTTTTTAAACCCCCATCCAGTGATAATTAAAATATCATCTTAGGATCACTTAAAATTAGTAAACTATATCGTTTGAAGCATTAAATTTTAAAAAAGTATGATTAATAATTAAGACTTTGTGGTAACACATTGAGTAAAATAATTTTACGGTCATCCAATCACAGTCTACATAGATAATAAATTTACTTTTATAATAATTATTTTAAAATCATATAAACCATAATTTTTAATTGATTAACTTTTTATAACAGTGTTACAATTACACCCTAATAATTAATGTTGTTAGAAGTACATGTTTTGTTAAACAATTGATCAACTAAATGAAAAAGTTATAGTTTATTTGATTATATAGGATAAAAGAAAAAAAAAAGTTTAAACGTAGAATCACCTTTATTCATGTATTGTGATAAACTTCTATGTAAACTACAATTGAAGTAACATTAATATTTTGATCTTTACTATTTTTAACTAAAATCTTGATGCAACTCTTGATATAATTACATATAGTTGATCTTGTGAGAAAACTTATGATAAAAATATTTTAATATGTTTTAAAGATTGATCTTAATTTTTGTTAATAATCATTCAAAAGTATAATCAAAAGGAGTTGTCAACGTTAGAACTTGAAAGAAATCCTTATATCAAAAGGAGTTAATGAAAAATTAAAAATAAATACCTTTATATCAATTTTGCTTCTAGATAAAACTTTGCTTTACAAAACATACTTTCTCATCTTTGTGATGATTAGTCTATTACTATTATACAAACTTGATGTACTGACCAATATTTCTCAACAACATAACTGCAATTATAATTTTTAACTTCAAAACATGATTTAGAAGTTCAAACTATAAAGCACTAATTGTGTTTAATAATTCTCGAGAGTGTGAATATAGACAGGGCAATTTCATCATTTTTTTTATAAAAGAGTATCCAATCTTAGATAATTTATTTCCTGACCATTCATTGATGACAACAAATTAAACTTGCATGTTTTATACATAAAATAAATTACCTTATAAATCAATTATTGTAGTTATTAAATAAATATTTGCATTAAGAACAGTCATGAGTCATGACCATTTTATCACATTGTTGATTGAAAAACTTTGAACCTAACATGTTTCGTAATACCATTTATGTTTTGAATTAATCTCCATTACAATATTACCTTTGCAAAGACACTATACTCCATTTTATTTTTTGTTTATACATTTGATTTAACAACTTATTAATTGAATATCAATATAATTTTGACAAATTGCATAACATTTGCATAAGATTATAGCTTATAATATTTACCAAAATATTTTTTCAACTTGTAAAGTTGTAAAATGATAATGACTAGATTTGAGATAATGTTGAATTTCAACAGTAAAATCTTCCCATCGAATATAATGAATGGATTTGTTCTTAGGTGATTAAATAAAAACAAAACAAAATGATAATAGTTAAAAGGAAAGAAATTTATTAATTAAAATAAATAAATAATAATATTAATAAATATTAATATGTTTAAAATTTTTACTCTAAATCTTGAAAACAATATCAATTAGTTTTTTCTTCTGATTTTTTATATCATTTTTTTATGCTATCTTTTTTCACTACATGTCCAATGACATAAATAATGCATGAATTAAACAAAATTTGTAGTTCAAAAAATTCAAAAAAAATGAAAAACAATATATATAAATTAACTTAGCAAGATATCTTCTTTGGATCATGCAAGAATGTCAGAAAAGGACGAATGTTTTGAAATGTCTCGGTCTCAACTTTTGAACAAATAGTGATATTAATGAAGTTAAGCTTGAATTTCTGATTTCTAGTTTTAAATTTATCATTATTTTTGAACAATAAACATGTGCTCAATCAGATAACAATATCCTTGTTCAAGAACATTTTTAAATTTATCTATTAATTTTTTCTTCACACATGCACGAATATTCTTGCTCTACAAAAAATTAGCAATGAAAATTAACTTGTTTAAATAATAAAATTTAAATTTAAAACATATTAGTAAAAGGACAATATAAACAACACTTTATAATTAAAAAAACTAACCTCTTTATCCATTAAAAACATTTCAATATTGTTAATTTGATCAGAATATTTGTATTATGGTAATGTCGAAAGATGAATTACACAAATATTTAGCATCCATTGAATCTTCTAAATGGAGAATTCATAGAAAAGTTTCTTTTTTTGGCCGAAAGAAACTATTCCTTGATATTATATGCGATATAAGATACAATTGTATTATAATTAGTTAATTCCCCCTATATATGTTGCATATATTTTACATACGTAATACAAAATTCGTTGTTTATGCAACACCGTACGTGTAACAAAAACTACTCTCCAATCACGTGATTTTCCTTTATAAATGCAACTTCTTAGTCCAAAACTGACGAAACTTGTATTCTGGTGGGAGCTAGAGAGAATCTACAAAGAGAAGAAGCTAGCACTTGAGCTCACACACAACACAAACAATAAACTTGTTGAGAAGAAATTAAGATGGAATGGAAGAAATATTATTTGGATGTGGTGCTTGTACCATTGGGATTTCTGATAACCTTAGGTTATCATGTTTGGTTGTGGCATAAGGTTCGCACACAGCCTTTTTCCACCATAATCGGTATCAATACTCATGGAAGACGCTCTTGGGTCCCTGCCATGTTGAAGGTATTTTCTTCAACAATTGTTTCTTTTCTCATTAGTTATTTCGAGTTTGTTTAGATACAAATTTAAAAGTATTTTTAAAAATTTTCTTATTAAAAAATATCCTTCATTTTTAATCAAGAAGTTTTGAAAGTGTTTACAGTTCATATTTAAACAGACTCTTTCTTTTCGTAAAGCTAATTTCTATTTCTAATTCTACAACTAAATACTAATAATCTCCATATCTCTTTGACCTAATATTTCGAGTATTAAATATAGAAGCTAAGTGATCACTTTCTAATTTAAACTACTCTATGTTTTTATGTCCTTGGTGAAGAGTTTCTTTGGTTTCTGGTGTATGGGAAGGACCCAAATATTGAAACTATTATTGCTCTTATTGGCTGCATGCATCTTGTAGATCGATGGGTATATTGATAAGACCCAACTACTTTTATTTATGATCTATACCTTTGTCTTACATTTTTTAGCCACAAAATTTGGTATCATCGATCTGTTGGCAAACAAAGCTGCAGTCTTCACTAGTTATGTCGCTAACTAATAAAGATTTGTGAAAAAAGTATATTTCATGAGTTAAACGTAATGTGTCCTTGGAATATTTTGGTCTAGAATTGACTGTTTGGATGATTATAAAATAATTTTCAGTTTTATTTAAGTTATCTTGGGTTAATCTAAGTTAGAATTTTAAGCTTGCCAATAAGGCTACCAAGATCTTTCATCTTTTATTCGATTTTACGTATCAAGTGAGAACTTTAGCTACTTTGAGAAATAATATTTATAAATTTGAATCATATATACAATGATATATGAATAGGTAAAATTAAAAATTAGTTAATAGCGACATAATCTTTTAAATATATGATTTAATAGTGTATATTAATATATAATTTTCACCTCTGACAATAATAAGAGTTTTTACTTGATTAACACTATTAATTTGTTGAAAAGCAAAGAAAATTCTATCTCAAGAGTCAAAGAAGCACTTTAATAACGAACTTGAAGAAACATAGCCAACAAAGCTGCTTCTTGTACTATATATATATATATATATATCCTTTATAAAACCCCACATGCATCCATCAAAATACTACGATCACCTATAACCGCATGCAACCTACTCGACTCAACCAACTCAACCACGAATCACATCTTTGATGATGATCCAACCACATGCAAGTCAAAATATAGTAATGATTTGAGTTCTAGTTTCCCTTACCTCAATTTCAAGCTCTTTGAGGAAGAAGAAGAGAATGGAGAACTCCAAGAACTCTAACTACTTGAATGAAGGAAAGAGAGAAACGGAAAATAAGAAATTATGACCTTCCAAGGTAACACCCCACCACCACCACAACTTGTTTTTTTTTCCCTCTGTTATGGATTAACCAATGGAGAAGGAAGGAACTTCAATGACAGAACTCTCAAGCACTCTCTCAAACACTCTCAGGCTTGTGAAGAGAAAAAGAAACACAAAGAGACGTGTTAAAGAATAAGTATGCTAAAACTTATTCTTAAATAGGATTTCTCTCTCTTTTTCTTTATATATATATATATATATATATATATATATATATATATATATGCTTCATGCACTCCGAAGGAACTAAACACCAAATAGATCAGGTTACAAAAAATTATATTAACATTCAAACATTTATATATTCAAACATTTATTATATATATATAGTTCTTTAAATATAATAATTGTATAATTTAATCTCTTAAATTTTAATTTTTCAAATAATACAGCTGTACAATTTTAGTTTCTTAACTTTTAATTAAATAATTTTAGTTCTTCAAATATTATTATTGTGTAATTTAATTTAGTATATCAATAATCATAATTTTTGTCCCTCAATATTATATATATGTTGTGTTATGTTATACTTTTATTTGTACATGCAATATTTTTCATTTTTTTTTCATCTTAAGAGGTTAATTTGTTTCTTTTGCTCAAATACTTCTTGGAATATTAATTTAAATTCCAGTTATTCTATTTTTATAATTATAATTAAGTAATACTCCAACAAGTGTTTAATTAGGTTTGTGTTTTAAATATGTTTAGATAAAAGAAATTAATTATTTGTGTGTAAAATGTGTTTTAAAAGTACTTTAGATTTTGATCAAAACTGGTTTTAGTCTGCATAAATTAAAACCAATGATTTTGTTCGTCATGTTTTTTTATAATTGGTAATTTCATTCCTCGCCCTATTTCCTAAGTTCTATAAAGAGGAACAAAATTTACTAATTATAAAAAATACGATGCCTAAGATAATTGTTTATTTGTTTATATGATATACTGAAATTTTAATTTTAATCATTTAACTGCTGACGAATTCCTTTTTTAATTATAAAGTTGAAGTGTTCCAAAAATTGTATAATTACTATAAGAATAATTAAACTATATGAGTTAGGTCCAATGCCAAGGCAGCCTCCACTTGAAGCAGGGGGAGAGACTTTATAAATATTTTATTTTATTCTTAACTTTATGGAATTTTACATATGCTTTATATAGCTTTAAAAATCATCCGGAGTGAAAGGGTAAGGTAAAATCAACAATAATTAATAAAACAGGACCAGGTTCAAAGATATTGCTTTAGTAAATGGATTCCAGGGCCCTGTCTTTGCCATGATGTTTATCAGTTTAGAATCTTGAAATGACAAACATACAAATATGAATATTCGAGAGAATCTGCATATAACTGGCTGCCCTAGGATTTGGGATTTTTTATGACAATGGCGAGAGGGAATTTTGCAAATATGGGCCCATCACTTTCATATAAAAGTGGCTTAGTAACTTCATACCAAAAGAGAAGGCTAACGACAGCGCATTTTGTTTCTGTGGTCTCGTGTAATATGGGCAAAAAGAAAATATGTCATTCACGTTCCACAATCCACCATGGAAATTATTCTTATTTTATTTTTCTCTTTAAGCAAAGTGGGTCTCCATTTTTTAAGAGCTAATTCTTTATTAATTAATTCTGAGGAATATGAGTTTCTGCTTTAATCACATCCCAAGTATACTTTTCTCTGTAGGTCACTAATTAAACCATGTGTTTTATATAATAATCAACATATACCGCGCGCATAAATATTAGGTAAAAGAAAAGGAAAATTTGATTTTAATATTTACAAAAATTATATGACACTGAAATAAGTTTAAAGGGTTATCTATGTCTGTCTGTTTTGTTTAATTTTCTTCTCATCAAGCATGCTTCAAATAAGGATATAGTCCACACACATACATATATATGGCCTACTAAACTGTGATGAATTATGAATATAATTTTTTATTAAGTATATTATTGATATAAAATATTTATCAATTTTGCTGATAATTAATTTTTATTAGAGAATCAATCTCTACTTTATATGTAGTAATTAAAGTTTTGTTGATTATTATTTTATCAAGTGCATGAAAAATGAAGTCTTGCATATGGATGATAGAAAGAATAATTGACGTAAAGGTAGATGAATTTTGTTGATGGCATGCATGCAGGACATTGAAAAGAAGAACATCCTAGCAGTTCAAACTCTTCGTAATCTGATAATGGGATCAACTCTTATGGCGACAACGTCCATTCTCCTCTCTGCTGGCTTAGCAGCTGTCATAAGCAGCACTTACAGCATTAAGAAGCCTCTGAATGATGCTGTATATGGGGCCCACAGTGAATTCATGGTGGCACTTAAATATGTGACACTCCTAACCATATTCTTATTCTCATTTTTCTGTCACACTCTCTCCATTAGGTTTTTCAATCAAGTGAGCATCCTGATTTGCACACCACAAGATGTCATGTCTATGGTCACCCCTCAATATTTGACTGAGCTTTTGGAGAAGGGAACCATTTTGAGCACTGTTGGCAACAGGCTCTTCTACTCAGCACTTCCTCTTCTCCTTTGGATCTTCGGGCCTGTCTTGGTTTTCTTGTCTTCTGTTGCCATGTTACCAGTGCTTTACAACCTAGACTTTGTTTGTAGGGGAAGGATCATGAAGAATGACAAAGGGGAGGACTATGTTTGATGTGTTGAGCTAAGGTCACAAACATTAAACATGATAAGGAAATATATATGTTTTATATGTGTAGGTAGGTCACTTGGTGCATCATTTACAACTTTAACGTTGTAAAGGTGTCGTAGTTTGCTTGCACAGCCACATGCTGGGGCGATTCCTAAAATAATTCAACTGCTTTTTCCAATGTAGCTTTCATTGTGATTACCATTATTAACGTTTTAGTTGTTTCCTAATGGGACTATAAAGACTTGCACATTCATATAATATATATTTTTTCTCTATCTCTCCTCATCGCATCACTCATCTCTTCTCATAATTAGTAGAAATCTGTTGTATAAAAATATTTTTTCATTAAAAGATAATAGAGTTAAACATTTTTTTTACCCCTTTAATATATAAAAATTTGTTTGTTTCTCTCCAATTTTTAAACCCACAGGTCCTCTAAATACATCAAATTTTATCTATGTCGCAAACTTTATTAATCCAATTTAAGTCACCAAACACATAATACACATGTGTTAATTTAAAGCTCAAAAATAGTAGTAGTGTTGTTGTTGACCGCATTTCATTAATAAATTGAATTAATAAAATAAGTGATAGAGATAAAATTTTACACATTTAAAAAAAAAACAAATATAAACATTTTAAAAATGGTAACTAAAAACAAATTTTACATATTTATAAAAATACAAAAGATGTTTAATCGAACATTATATGTGTTAAGACATAAATATAAATTACTATTTAATTATCAGCTTTTGAAAATACTGGAATAATATCATAGTTTAAAAAAAAAATACTAGCCAGCTACCCATCTTGCGGTTCTGTTCTTTTGTCCGGACTAGTTGACCGATTAATAAAGGGTAATTTATGTGAACCACATGTTAGATCATCGAGTCTTTGTTCAAGAGAATGAATATTTTGTACACAATAAGACCTTTCATTACTTCTTAAACAAATAAAACTCTATCTATAAAAAAAAAAAAAACCAAATAAAACTTTATCAAGGTGCATATAGCTCTATTTTCACCAATTTTATTTTATATGATTTTTTTTAAGAATCAAAATCAACAATATTGACTGTTTTTTAGGGAAACAACTAAACCTAAAGTAATAAATAAATAGGGTGCCATTTAAATTTATAAAATCATATTTAAGCATTTCAAGCAATCTCTCTTAATTAACTTAAGAAATTGTTTAATTTATTTTTCGAAGGAAAGAAATTGTTTTTATGTTTAAGCAACTATTGCTATGAAAAAAGTAGACCCAACAACAAATTTAAGTTGAAATGATACCGATATTGATGATAAATAAATATGTGAGCTACTAGTATATTTGGTGATTTTTTAAAAGCCAAAACTTTAAAAAAAGGGGATTACTTTATATTACGAAAAAAGGTAATTTAGGATAGGATGTGAAGGTGCATATAAAATCTATATAATAGAATCACAAACACTATGGTTTCATTAATTTCATGGTTGATCGAAGATGCCGCTAATATCTTCGAATTTATTGAAAAAAGATTATTGGACACCCAACAATCTATTTAATACATATAAAAGAAAGAGATAAAAATAAAATATATGTATGGTAAGGAATACAATATGATAGAAAAATATTTATTAAAAAACTAATAAATATTAAAGACTATTGAAATTATTTCTTGTCACCATGTCCATAAAAAAATTATTTTTTGTCATTGTAAAAGTTTAACGTATTGAATCTTGTTGATATCCGATCCTTTGTGACGTCATATTTTCCCATTCTTAACCCTTTTATTTGTGCAATTTTGCACCATTGCGCATAGAATGAAACAAACGACGTGAACGATGACGTAATTGATTATCTTTGTTTTTTCTTTATATATATAAAAATTAATAAAGAGAAGTTATAAGTTATAAGTTATATGGTATTTAGATTGTAGTGGTTAGGAATGAGATAAGCATTTCACTCCATAACTTAGAATACACCTTTTCTTATAGAGACCGAGTTTATAAGAAAGAATTGCACTTTTTTTCTAAATTGAATTCACGAGCGAGAATAAATGAGGGGTATGAATAGTAAAAAGGAGGTGTTAATAGTAATACTTATAGCGACTAGCAATAAGCGAGACAACCCACAAATACTTACTTATAGCGACCTCAATGAGATTTGGGTCGACAATAATATCCATCCAGATACATAGTAAAATCAAGATTACAAAATTTGACTCTAATACAACAAAAACAGCTAAAAAAAAAGAAGAAGAAGAGGAAAGTTGATTTTTTTTATACCAAAAAACAAAATAAGGTTAAGGAAAAGAAAAAGGTTATCTAATATATCGGTTTAATTACATTTATTTTTTCTCCAATATAATTTTTTTTATCACGATTATGATAATTTTATCTTTAAAAGGTATGATGGTGGTTAAAAAAAAAAAAATATATATATATATATATATATATAATAAAATGGTATTAATGTCTAAAAAAATATGAAAATCAATGAGAAATATCCTTTATATATATAATATATAATAGATTATTATTATTATTATTATAAAAGAAGATATTGTCATGTTGTTAGATATTAGATGTCATCATGTTTTAATCCTAAGCGTGTGGTTCAGCGGTAGGAATTATAAAAATTTTATGCAGTTAGGAATTATAATTCCCTCTTATCGGATCAAATCATTTTTATAAATAAAGTGAGATTTTCAATTGTGACTTTATTAATTAATTTTAATTAGGAGTAGGATCTTAAATAAATCATGATTTATAATTATAGTAATTTTTATTACCACATTATAATAATTTATCTTAATATGTAACTAATAACAATTGACATTAAAATAATTAACCAAACTACTATGCATCTTTGTGTTTTTATTTTTATTTTTATAGATGTTTAGAGGAGATAGTGTGCGGTTATTATTATTCAATAACAATTTCATGGGAAAAATTTGTACAATAAAAGACTTTTGCGTTTTAATTATTTATCATTATGTGTTTTTATTCTAAAGGGTTAAAATTGTAAAACACATTTGTACATAAAAATAAAGAAACGCCTTTATAGATATGTATAGATTCAACCAACTTTAGTTTTTAATTTTTTTTAAAAGATTTATCTGTTTAAAAATATATGACAATATTGATTCCTATTCTATTAATTATATTCTTATCTTTGTTTTTCTTTTATCTAAGTAGGGTCAATATGAAAATTAATTACACATCTAAGATTATTTTTAAAGTTTATTTACTTTGGGGGTGGTTAACGTAGATGTTGCTGGTCAACATAACACCATCCAATGTCATGTAATTTTTGTTTAAAAACAATGACTTGAAATTGAAACTCAGTTGTGTGTATCAATGATGATCCTGCATATGACTTTAGTAATACTTGTTATAATTAATTTAAAACAAATATCATTGTCTCCAATTTCAAATGAAGATCATTTTTTCTTTTTAAATCATTAGTGCTGCTATCTTTAAATGGGATATTAACTTTTATTTATTTTTTCTCCTAATGTGACTACTCTTCAATGGGAAGCTCTTTATATTATTTTTTTTTTCTAATGTCTCCAAAAGAAGGAATTTGTTCTTATTAATATATATATATTGATCTTTTATTTCAATTTTTGGTTACCGTCCATAGATCAAAAAGGCTGATATGGGTGGTTTAATGTACTCTCTTGGATTCGGAAATAATTTGTAATCCTTTAGATTTTTTTTTTTATAGGAATCAATTTAAAATGACTTTGGCATCAACATTAATTATATTTTTTTTAGAATGCGACATCATACATATATTGCTATATAATATAAGATGATATATAGTCATTCGTTTGACGTACCAATATGGATAGAGGAATATATATAATGCAAATGTTGTTAACGTGTCATTCGATTATAAATTACTATTTATAATAACTTTTAATTAGTTAACAATGTAACTCTTACACTAATAGCATGTTGCATGTTTTTTTTAGAATGCGACATCATACATATATTGCTATATAATATAAGATGATATATAGTCATTCGTTTGACGTACCAATATGGATAGAGGAATATATATAATGCAAATGTTGTTAACGTGTCATTCGATTATAAATTACTATTTATAATAACTTTTAATTAGTTAACAATGTAACTCTTACACTAATAGCATGTTGCATGTAAGGTAAGTACAAACTACAATAATAAATCTCTAGCGATTCTATGTAGCGGCGACTTTGATGTGGGTGATCTCTTGTTGTGCACTCCAGTACTAAAATTAACATTTTTAAGGCAAAGTGTGTGAAAGAATTATAAATAATTACTGAGTAAGAGATACATAATATAGAGGTTTGTTTATGGAAAAAGCCGATAGGGTGATTTAGAATGCCATGTGAAAAGAGTGTGTAAATACTAAATGTCTTCAGTTCATTGAATCTAAGACTTTTTATGTCAATGTACTTTGATGTCCGTAGTGGAAATTTGTATATTAAGGGCAGAATGTTAGTTGGTGATAACTTAGTGACGAGCAAATATTTAAAAATAATTTTTTGGGATTAGTGTCACTCTGTGGAGGCAACAGCAACCCACAAGTGTGGAGGGTGAAGTGGATATATATATATATAATTACTTTAAAAGTAATTATTAATAAAATTATCTCATTTAATAACTCATGGTATATGTTTAATTTTAACAATTAAACCATTTAAACTAAAAATTTATAATGCATAAATTAAGTTTATAAATTTTTAAGAAAATTAAAAATTATTTGATAATTTATTTTATTAATTTAAATTGATAAGTAATTATAAAATATATTTTAAAATTTATATAAAATTTGATTAATATATATTTTTTTTTTAATTTAATGGTTAGATTGTTAAAATTTAAATTAGTTCAATAGGAAGTTTACACACACACACAGACATATATATATATATATATATATATATAAAGAGATCCACTTAGTTCAATAGGAAGTTTATTTATACTTATTTCACTCAATAACTCATATTCAAGGTCAAATTTAAACAATCTAATCATTGAATTAAAAATTCTTAATGTATAGAATAATTTTATAAATTTTAAAAAATTAAAAAATAATTTAATATCTTGTTTCATTAATTCAAATCAACATTTAAAGTATTTTTATGATTAAATTTTATGTACAATAAAAGTTATTGAGTGAAATAAATCTAAATAGATTTACTCATTAAGAAAGTAAATTCCTCCACAATCTCTCTTTATATATAAAGTAGTCATATTGCACTAAATAATTTATTGCAAGAGAATAAAATAATTAT